TCAAATACACAGCTCACAGGAGCAGGGAGCTCTATCAGGGGCTCAGCACTCTCTAGCCAGAATCAGTTTCAGAAAGCCTGCGATGAGTGAGCCGGTAGTTCACTGTCTTCAGTACAAGCACATCTGAAAACCCTTTGTGCGCCTGCCTTGGACGACCTCCAAAATCAATTTCCTCATAGGCTAAGTCATGAGATGAGCCAAGAGTTGAACCATAATACATACATTCTGGGGATAGGAGGAAAGAACAAATTTACATGAAATACTGGGGTTTTGCAAAAAAGAAGGTACGCTTTCCTATAGTGTTCTCTCCAGACGTCCAGCTTCAATCGGAGACTGACCTGGAAGGACAAAGCGGTGCAGTATGGCATAGTTTAGGGTCAAAAGCTTTTGCCACGGGATGGTTTTGGAAGGACTGTATCTAGAAAGGCTGCTCTTGAGGTGAAACCCCCATGTTAGACCACGGCAGTGCAGGCGTAGGTATCCAGTTCAGAGTCTCCCAAAGTGGATGGGGAAAGAAAGATTTAATCTGTTTAGTGCCTTGTGGGGCTTCTAAAAAGTGTAAGAATAGAAGTAATGGAAAAACAGCTTCTTGCAGTTTGGTTAGGGAGGCCTGTTCCTTGCCAGCAACCTCTGTGAGAGCATGGAACCATATGCTCCTGCTGCAGTTGTGTACCTGCATATATTACAATATACAATAAATATAGATAATGTACAGTGAATGCACTGGGGGAAAAGAAAAGACAAGGAAATAATTTCTGAGGTATATGTGAAGAACCTTTCTGCCTTTTGTCACTATTTGTCATTTGAATTTTAAAAGAAGAATGACAATAAGCAGACTTGGAAAAATGCAAATTATTCTTCTGAGAGCAGCATTTTGACTTACGTGACTCTTTAGATGTTCTCTCATGACACCATAATTAATTCACTGATATTCAATATTTATCCGGTGAACTGTAAATAGAATAATATGCATAAATTGTTTCTCCCAGGCAACTTCTCATTAAAAATCACTTACTTGCCACAAAATGTCAAAAATAATTCAGGCACTATCAAAGTGCATGCAGGATTACAGTAAAAAATGTGTGTGCTTTGAAGTAGGTATTGCTCCCCTCAAACACCTTCCCAAATGGCCATAAAAATGGCTGTTAATTACAGAAACAGAACTACAAGCCATAATACCTGGCTTCTGCTATTTGCTCTGGTACAGTCCTTCACATCCGACGTTTGATAAATAACTTAATCACTCTCTGCTTTCAGCGAGATATTAAAAACAGGATCCTAAATCCTTAAATGCCTGTCCGAGCACACAGCTGTCCACCTCATACTCTCCTTACGGTGACAGTGAGAGACAGACTTGCCTACTAACAGGGCCCCCCCCCCCGCGTAAGGTGCCCTTGCAGCAGTGCGTACCCCTCGGGAGCCCCTCAGGAATAGGAAACGGT